CTCGTTTCGCCAACCACCATGCTATGTACACCCCGTGCAGTATACACCAGAAATTGGGATTATACTGCCCAAGGGCATAGCCCAGTCTGGAAAGCATCATTTGCACCCAAGGATGCAATGGTAACCTCAATTCATGTTTGTACATGGCTGAGAACACCATAACGCAACCCTCAGGGGGGTATCTAGCCGCTTCAGTAAATATGGGCAACCTCAGCCCCACACAATCGGGTATCGCATAATCTGCCTTCAATATCATACAAACTCATCATATTTTTCTTCGGTAGTAGCACCCCTATTGGGACACCCACATCAGCAGATGCTACTACCACTGTACCACACCCAGACGGCCCAGCCCGCCCACTTCCACTAGCCTCTGGTGCCTGGGTTATCCCCAACACCCGGTTTGCACAAGCTTCTAGGGTCACATAGTTCCTTTGCATCTCCGTATAAGCTTCCCCCCCAGAACTCCTTGACTGCTCCTCTCCCCCAACCCTATTTCCCTCCACTATCAGCCCCTCCACCACACGTTTAGACCCAGTACTTTCCCCATCAGTACCCAAGTCTTCATCATGGCAACCACTCTCAACTCTTCCCCACTGAACGCATGGGGACTTGGAGAGCTTTGACTTTCCCTTTCAGAATTATCAGACATCTACAAACACAAAAAGGGAAACTAAGGGGCATGCGAAGATTGAAAACAGGAGCCTAGGCATGTTCTTAATATGTTCATGAAAGTTCATCAACGTTCCTACCAGCTTCATGAAAAACTCAAGCAAAAGGGGCATTTCAATCCAGAAATGGAGAAGGAATACAAGGCATACCTTGTTATCACCACCGTCCACGGTTGCCGGAAATCGCCTAGCTCACGAAGGCACATTTTCCCGTCTCGCCGGAAATCGCTCCGCCTACCTAGATCCTATCATAAATCGCCATTTCTCGTCTACAAAAATCTTTTGAAAAACTCAAGTGCTCATTCCTTCAGCCCTCCACAATCTTTTAAAGGCATACGAAGGACCCCTCGATTCTTGCTCCAAGCAATAACTCATCATACCGTTGGGATGCCTCGATTTCCACAAACAAACGTTTCAATACCACTGCCACATGGCACTCGTGACGTCACAACTTCCCTTCGGCAGGCTCCCTTTCGAAGCGTGAAAGGAATCGCGACCCGCAATGACATCCTAACTTCCCCACACCTTCCCTTCGGAAGGCTCCCTTCCGAAGCTTGGAAAAACCCATCGCGACACGCGATGACGTCACACCTTCCCTTCGGAAGGCATGATGACGTCACACCTTCCCTTCGGAAGGCTCCATTCCGAAGCTTGGAAGGACCCCTAGCGACACGCGATCACGTCACAACTTCCCTTCGGAAGGCATGATGACGTCACACCTTCCCTTCGGAAGGCATGATGACGTCACCCCTTCCCTTCGGAAGACTCCCTTCCGAAGCTTGGAAAAACCCATCGCGACACGCGATGACGTCACCCCCTCCCTTCGGAAGGCTCCATTCCGAAGCTTGGAAAAACCCATCGCGACACGCGATCACGTCACAACTTCCCTTCGGAAGGCTCCCTCCCGAAGCTTGGAAGAACCGCTCGCGACACGCGATGACGTCACCCCCTCCCTTCGGAAGGCTCCCTCCCGAAGCCTGGAAACACCCGTCGCGACACGCGATGACGTCACCCCCTCCCTTCGGAAGGCTCCATTCCGAAGCTTGGAAAAACCCATCGCGACACGCGATCACGTCACAACTTCCCTTCGGAAGGCTCCCTTCCCAAGCTTGGAAGAACCGCTCGCGACACGCGATGACGTCACCCCCTCCCTTCGGAAGGCTCCCTTACGAAGCTTGGAAGGACCCCTAGCGACACGCGATCACGTCACAACTTCCCTTCGGAAGGCTCCCTGCCGAAGCTTGGAAGGAGACCTCGCGGGGACGGCACTCCTTCCCTTCGGAAGACTCCCTTCCGAAGCTTGGAAAAACCCATCGCGACACGCGATGACGTCACCCCCTCCCTTCGGAAGGCTCCCTCCCGAAGCCTGGAAACACCCGTCGCGACACGCGATGACGTCACCCCCTCCCTTCGGAAGGCTCCCTCCCGAAGCCTGGAAACACCCGTCGCGACACGCGATGACGTCACCCCCTCCCTTCGGAAGGCTCCCTTACGAAGCTTGGAAGGACCCCTAGCGACACGCGATCACGTCACACCTTCCCTCCGGAAGGCTCCCTTCCGAAGCCTGGAAGGAGACCTCGCGGTGACGTCCCACCTTCCCTTCGGAAGGCATGATGACGTCACCCCTTCCCTTCGGAAGGCTCCCTTACGAAGCTTGGAAGGAGACCTCGCGGTGACGTCACACCTTCCCTTCGGAAGGTACCCGTGACGTGATACCTTCCCTTCGGAAGGCTATCTTCAGAAGGCCACCTTCAGCACCCCCTTGACCGAAGCCCCCCACACAAAAAAAAAAACAAAAAAAAAGAAAAAAAAAAAAAAGGGGCTTTTATGTTCCCAAACTTGGGGGA